GCACATCTGTATCCACTTAGGCTGCTGTAGCTGCTCAGTTAATGAGTCCCTCAAACAGTCTGACATCTTTCTGTTCATTTAGAGTCAAAAGTTGCGTGTGTTATTTAGTGGTTGTTTGTTATTTTCAGGATAACAGTCCTCGCAACGTGACTCTGTAGCTATGTTTTCAAAATAAGACTGCTCAGATTTACTTTGTGGTTTGTTACTTTCAAAATAAGAGTCAACATTTGTGGCATTTTCAGGATATAAGGTTTCTGAGTCTACGTTTTTTATGCTTTCCGAATAGTCCACAGAGTGCGTTTCCGGTGCTGTGTTTTCAGAATAAGAGTCCAAGGAGTGTGTTTCTGGTGCTGTGTTTTCAGAATAAGAGTCCAAGGAGTGAGTTTCTGGTGCTGTGTTTTCAGAATAAGAGTGCTCAGTGTGTAGTGGTTGTTTGTTATTTTCAGGATAACAGTCCTTGCAATATGATTCTGTAGCTATTCTTTCAGAATAAGATTCCTCAGAATGTATTTGTGTTTTGCAACTTTCAAAGCAAGAGTTACTGGAGTGCGTTTGCTGTGCATCACTTTCAGAATTTGAGGTTTTTACTGGTTTTATGTTTTCAGAATAAGAGTCCTCGCAGTGTGGTTCTGTACTTTTGCTTTCAGAATAAGAGCCCTCCCAGTGTTTCTGTTTTGTGCTATTTTCAGAATAAGAGTCTTTATAATCCGTTTCTGTTACCGAGTCGATGGAGTGTGCTTGTTGTGTGTTATTTTTTAAATAAAAGTCCTCAGATTGCTTTTGTTTTGCGTTACTTTCAAAATAAGAGTCTTTATCTGTGTGAACCTCTCCACATCCCTTTTCTTCTTCTGTCTCTCCTCCGAAATGAACCTGTGTTAGTCACAGTGTACTGACACAGCAGGCCTGTGAGGCCCAGTTTTCATGTATGACACAGATAATGGACATGTTCTCACAGCTAGAAATACTGTGCTGCTGGGGTTCCTGCTGTTCTCTCACACATGCAAAAAATTCAGCTCCGCTGGGTCATGTCTGCTAAATTTCAGGGCTGCAGTTAATGTAGTTAATGAAGAACTTTAACCGTTAACCCAGCAGTTAACCTCAAAATGGCAAAACAGCTAAGAACCAGACAAAAGTGTCCTCACTGTCAAGGTCTCCACATCTGAGGACACAAATACAACAGTGCACGGACACACACGCGCACACACACACTACCTGAAGACTTTAAACCACGAGTGTCAAACTCATCCACCGTCCACAAAGAGCTGAATTTGATCTCAAGCACAACCAAAATCATTCCCTTCTTCAGTTTTCAGTTTTTTGTTCACTTGAGTCAAGATGTTGTAAATAAGCTGAAACTGAAGTGACGTACGCCCCTCACCTTACTCCTTTAACATTTAACAGAAGGTATCATCTCTTTTTTGAAAATCATTTTTCTCATTTAGTGAACTCGAAAGAAAAGCAGATGATAAACAGTCTGTAACATCTTAAGATAAAAAACAAACTCCAGCAGCAGATCTCAGTGTTTCCACACTACTGGAAAGGCATGGAGCCTTCACCTGTAGATTTTCTAAATCCACAAAACTAGAAATGCCTTCATCTTTCATAGACTATCGCTGGCGTCACTGCAACAGGAACAGCAGGGGATTTTATTGACCAATAAAGTAATTCATAATTTTACACTTTTTTTAAAGCCGTCTCTATTAGGTCCCACTGGATGATATAATTTTGATTTTAAATAAAGAGAGAATGTTTTCAGTTAATTCTCAGAGTCCAAGGCTTCATCAGGGTTTC